CCCCCCCTCCCTCCCATCTCTTCCTCATTACTAACCCCTCCTTTCCCCTCTGTCCTCCCTCAACAACCTTCTTCTATTCTTTGCTTGTTTATTTGTTAGCAAAAGGTGGTCAGTACGGTATATACCCCAGTATATACAAGTATTACCCGTCAGTTCTCATAGCCCTCATCTGGAAGTATATACCCAGTATATACAAGTATTACCCGTCAATTTTTATAACCCTCATCTGGAACACCCGCTCCATACACTCTTTCCTTTTCCTTTCTCATTTCGATATTTCACTTATAATTTCAAATATTAATTACAACTTCGATTGCCCTCATCCAATCATATACCGTTCTTTTTTCTTTTTTTGAATTGAACTTATCACACAAACAGGTTATGGTATCTAACTAATTTACTTCCTGCAAATTTTCCAAGAAGCTTTACATAGGAATCATATTGCTCATTTAAAACTTTGCTTGCTGTACTTGACAACTCACATACCGTATTATTAACTGTCAAATACGGTAACAAATATATACTGTGGTATTAGCAATATTGAACTTCTAGCATAAAGATATCTTCAGATCGCATTTATGTATTAAGATAGGGGTGTGATTCTATACTAAACACCAAAAGCAAGGACAAATGAATGGAAAGATTTGAACATATCGTAGAAATAGAATTGCAACAACGAAAAGAATTCATTAATTATCGGAATTATTCGTTCATTTACAAACGTGTATACTTTACAACATGTGACATAATCTCATAATGTCGCATGTCGCATTATACGCTTAATGCAATATTCACATTTTTTAAGCTTAACAATCAAATGAAATTAGTCAACGAAAGGAGGAAATTGAGTAGAAAAATAAAAGAAATCTGATTATGAAGCGAAAAGTAATTATTGAGTTGCAAACTTTTAATTACCAAGCGATAATGCAGTTTGCATGCATGTGTACGCATGTGTGTGTATGTGTGTATATGAGTTGATATTGTGTATTGTTGAAAATTTTCACTCAAATCAAAGGTACTTTGCCCATCTTTGTGTCATTCATATTTAAGCAAAACATGTTATAAATTCAGTATTTATTTCCTATTTTGGAATGCATCAATGTATTCATATTTAACAGTAATAAATTAGCTAATGATATAGGAATAGAAGAAAAAAATTACAAAAATTTCTGGAAATTTGAAATTAATGATCTTTAATATGTTGGGTTGTTTTATTTCAAAAACTTTGCGGAACATTTTTTCTGAATTACAATTATTGAACGACAAACTATTCTCATCATGGATCGGATTGGGCAATTTCTCATCTTTAATATTATTTACTAATGTTTAATTATCGAATAACTGCTTTTTCAGAATCTTTTAGTTCATTTCTTAAAATATTTCATTCATACATCCCACTCATGCGATATGAATGTTTGGTAACAGCGAAAAGTGGATATTACTGGCCATAGGAAGTGATTTAAATTGAAATGGTCAAAATATGAAATTTTAATAATGCTGGTAAATTGTAGTATATTGTCCAAAACATTTTGATTGTACAGCAATCTCAAAAGAAGCGAATTAAATGAAGTTATCAAATTCATGCAGCGTTAAAGGTCGATGATACATTATCATCTTCGGAATTTGAATTTTTCAAGGGATCATTTATTCAGTCATCCAATTAACAATCATTGATGTCAATTAGCAATCTTGAATGTTTGACTTTAATAGAGCTATTAAGGTTTATTCCACATCATTAATACCTTAGTAATATGAAAACTTTTTTTTCTCCCTCTCTCTCTTTTCCTGATACTTTGGTGCTTATATTAATTAACGAAAATGGTGACAAAATTGAAATCGTATTAGGTAGTAAAAAGATTTTGCAGAATAATTGGCACTGAATTATAATAATTCAGCATAAGGGAGTGATGATTTAGGGAATGGATTCGGAGATTGATAAAATTTTCAGTAATTCTGATTCTGATCATTTTCTTTGGTGCTTTTTCATTCCTGTCTGCTCTTATGCAAGTTATAATGTTTTTACGATCTTCTCGTTCTTTTTTTTCCGACTCTTTACCACTCTTTTGAATAGTTTTACTCCTTTGTTCCAACTTGTCTTTCATCACCTTTATAACCTCTTTTTTTACCGTTTTGTTGTCCATTTTTCTATTTGTTTCTCATGAAATAGTTTCTTGGCGCTCTAACAAGCTAAATTTTTAATGATAGTTTTTAGTTTCTCACTAATGTCAAGCTGATTATCTTAATATAGATTAATGTTAATCATTCAAATACCCGAGATATCGGAAAAGGGAGTGACATATCGAGAGTAAGGATCAATGACCATATTAAGCTAGTTTGATGTGAGCTTACCGAACAAGGATGAGCCAGTGGTGTACGAAAGAAATGTTGGAACTGAAAATAAAAAGTAATATCAAAAATAATATCATTATCATTGCCATCATTGGCAAGAACCATCTTAGATCCATTAATTCGTTCACGAGCAATCCATTTCACTGAAGGATGCCGTTCTCTCTTTCTTTAAGGAGTTCATATGTGATGATGGGAGTGAGAAGCTCAAGTAGAGAAGGTGACAGGAAGGATGACGGTGGAGAAGGAGGGTTAGGAACAATGTTGTAACAAACTTGATTTTCGATTAAGGTCATTCCGTTTCTTGATGTATCCATCCATCCATGTATCACACTATAAGATGTAAGGGAAATCGGATAAATGACCGACTTCGTATAAGAAGCACAATTTTGCAACAATGCATTTCTTTCTCCTTCCCTCATTCCCGCCCGCCTATCCCCTGATCGCTATCCATGAATGACGATGTTTGTTGCCGATTTCTAAGAGATACACCAAACAAAAAGCAGCGTCTCTGTTCGCAGTATCACACTGTCGATAAGATGGTTGGCCTTGAAAGTAGTGACTGAAAGGTAGGGGAAGGAAGTTAAGGAGAGGGAAGTTGACAGTAACGGGAAAGGGGAAGAAGCATTATCACTATGACGTCCACACACTGTCGACAACACGTACCGTCATTTATAGTCCACCTCTTCCTCTTTGGCACTGGGTATCAACAGCGGTCCATCAAAACCGTTATAACAAGAACAGAAGAAAGGGCGACACAGGATTCGACTGATTGTCCACCCGTTCCACATTATATACATGTATTTCTTTTCCTTTTTTTTTCAGTTTCATTTCTTATTTTCTTCTTGCTGTCATACATAAGGAAATAATGTCCTCCTCCTTCATTCTCCTTCTCTTCTCTAAAACTTCGTCAACCACCGCTCTTCCCGGTCCTCTTCCTTTTCAGTTCATTCTTCTGTACCCTTTCACCCTTCTCTATTCCCTTTCTATAGTCCATCATCATTCCTAAAGCTCCTCTTCTACCTATTTTTTCCTTCAAATTCCTTTTTTTTAAACCATTATTACTACCACTACTACTACTACTACTACTACTACTACTTCTACTACTACTACTACTACTACTACTACTACTATTACTACTACAACAACTACTACTACTATTACTACTACAACAACTACTACTACTATTACTACTACAACTACTGCTACTATTATTACAACTATCACTACTATTACTACAGGAACAACAACAACAACTACCACCATACTATTTCTTCTACTACTGACATAACTATCTCCTCCCTCCCCCTCCTCCTTTTCCCTTCTTTTTTGTCTTCTCCTTACGGGACAAAGTTTTATTCAAGAAAGATTGCTAATTTGTAGATCATCAAAATGGTCCTCTCATCTTCCTACCATACCATTCCTTGTTTCATTAGTAACCTTGACTCAATTACTAATAGCGGTTCTTGTCGCATTATCGTTGTCATCTTTGTTGTCCCTTAACGACGAACATTTTTATGGATTTCTTTTGCATTTACAAAAATAAAAAATTACTTTCATCGCTCTGTGAGTCCCGAAAATTATTTACGGTACATATTTTTTCAAATGACACATATATATTGCCTTCCTCTTTTTTTTTCTTTCAGCATCTGCAACAGTACACAACAATACTTAACGGCCAAAATATTAGGGTAGCTATTACTTGGACATTTTAAGTTATGATGTTAATGAAACACATTATTATATGGTAAGAGGATGGCCTAAGATTGAATTCGTTTTTCATATATTAGTTAACAAAGGATTTTATGACTTTCTGCCATTGTTTAATTAATTTTTCCCAATTAAAAGTAACTGCTAATAGTAATAGGTAAGTTAATTAGCTGATAATAATATGATATGCATAACGCTAGCTGGTAAGCAACACCATAGTGATACATACTCTCCTGTGTAATCACAGAATTTTATTCGATAGTTTCTTAATTTTTGGGATGCTATTTTGGTCACTTATCCCTAAATTCACAAGGGGGAAAAAAAATATGCTAGCTTAATGAGGTTACTTCATGAACGACACTTACAAATTAGAATGACAATAACTTACAAGAATTTCCTTGTTAATTATCGTCATCCTAATTTTCATCGTCTCGTTTCCTTCTGTTCCCTCAATATTCGCATTCTGAACATTCTGGACATCCAGCATTCTCTTATTTTGAAGAAATACTCGTAATCATACCTTATTGCATCAAATAATTCAGTCCATTCTATGATTAAAAAGTTATATGTATAGCTGTTAGTACAACGGAATTGATTCCATTATCAAAAAACTATAATAATATTATAGGAGGTATCTGCAGATTTTAATATCACGAAGCCATTTCTTTTGCCTTGGCAGCGATTTTTGAAATTTAACCAATTTTTCCCAAATTTACCGCTAATGATTCATTGCTCTAGTTAAAAAGCACCCCGATGATTCCAATACCACATCTGCGTCATTTTCAGTGTTACATTAAATATCTCTCATGTTTCTACTTCTTGGTTTATATCCGTATTGTATCAGCATAATTCAACGTCAAATATGTATATTCAGAATCTATGAATGAGAAATAATAGTAAGCATAGAAATAATAGCAGGAGAGAACTATTAAATATTCAGATGTGACGGTGATCATGTAAGAGAAGGTAATGTGGTTAAGTGACATTGCACTGAGGTCACCAGGTACTCGTTTCATTCATATTTCTCAGTTCACACCGTTTGTATCCACAAACTTCATTGGAACGGAAGGAAAAGAGCGGCCGCTATTTGATGTCGGAGGACCTTCAGCATTCCAATTCAAAAAGTAAATTTGTTCCAGATGCAATCAAAATTATGTATTATTATGATTTCTTGTCTTTTAACCGACCCTATCCATTATCGCTATATTCAATTTTCTTGCCCTCATTAAAGAGTGATCCGGAAATTTAGAGTTACATTATTTCAATCAAAATTAACGACCTCATTCTATGGCATTATTTAAAGTGGATGATTGGAAATAAGCCTAAGGAAATGAATCACAGCACTTAGTAAGTTTAAATGATATTTCGAGTTTTTTGAATCAATATGTTTGTAATGTTGAAGTTAGTTTGCTACTCGTTTAATAGTTTAGGCTTGCGGTTTACTTCCTGTCGTCCTAAACATACCTTCACTATATCATCCAATTAGTTCTCTGCATCGACTAAACTCAGGTTCCAGTGTTTTTCCTTTTTTTTTGTCTGTCACCATAAAACACAATATGGAAAATAAACCAATGATCAATTATGTTATCAAAGTCGTTTGTGAAGCATGCTGAAAGCAAATTCACTAGTCTTCCCTAATATTTGTTTGGTAGTTTACAAATGATATGAAGTAGTCAACAGAATATTATCTGAATACGATGCTCTGGTAAATGATACCTGTTCAGGTATCTCTCATCCTCACACTCGGCTTGTTTGTCTTTACTTTTTTTTTCTTCTCTCTCTCTCTCTCCCTCTCAAATAATATTTGCTTCCTTGTAATTCATCTACGATTCTCCAAACATCATTTCGAAATCCCTTTCGTTGATCATGTGACACACCTACAAGCTACACATAATAGTTAACGCTCATCGGTCATGAACTTCTCTTACCCATTACTTTTCTTTTCCCACTGATCACAGTAGGTCACTCATATCCTCAAAGAATTATTCTTTCTCTCCGACGATGAAGTATGCGTCCAGAAATGAAGCTTAGAGTTAGCTTCTTTCCTCACTTATCATTTCATCTCAGCTCTCAATTCCAGTATCAACATATCATCAACACCTAATACTACTTAATACTATCCCTTCAGGATGATCATCAGTGATCATCACCAACAAGTATCATGTGTTTGTCTGTCTGTCTGTACGTATGTGTATGTGTGTGTGTGTGTGTGTGTGTTTTGTGTGTGTATGTGTATGTGTATGTATGTAGGTATGTGTGTTTTGTGTATGTATGTATGTATGTGTGTGTGTTTGCACAATTGTGAGCAAAAATAGGACATGTGCTCATTGCAGAAAATATATTGAAGTGAACGAGGGGGAAACGGCTACCAGGAAGCTTCCACGTGAACAACCTGACTCATTCAGTTCGGCGTTGTTCCCACTGTTTCCGCCATACCAACTGTTGCCACAACCGCCTCCCCTATCTCCAAGCTCCCCATGCTACTGCTAACCCTGTGTCATTCCTTATCACCTTCCCTATTATCGGTAATAATTATCTATGCACACATTATGTTTAATTCATTTCCTTTTCTCCCATCTTTCCTTCTTCATTTCTTTTCTTTCCTCTCACCCCAAAACACTTTCACCTTTTAAGACAGTCTATAATTTATCTATTTTCTCCTTTCTTTCCCACTTTAACTTCCCCGCTCTACAATTCTTATCTCCCTCTCCCCTTACTTCGTTAATAATCACTGTCACTACCATGATCCATATCAATATTGGTTCGGCTATCATCAATATATCTTTTCATCGTCGCTTTAGTCATCTTATCAGTAACTTCCGTAATCATATCATAGCACATTTTATGATTACAATACTTTATGAATAATCAGTTAATAAATAAATTTACTGTTCTATTTCCTAACTAAAAAAATTCCACTACATTCATTTCATTATTTGTTAAATTTCATTTCCCTAAAGTTTCCCTAAAATTAGATGGATTCCGATTCTTGACAAATATTCGGAGCACTCATTTCACTACTATCTCTTTCAGTGTATTCCACAGTACTCTAAACAGTCTTAGTGATCTTGTTAATGTTTATTCAGAATGTTATCTATTTCAATTTGATTATTTCCCATATTATTGAAATTTGAAAGGTTTTATTAAGTTATTGCATGCATCGATGAGCGGCGGCACTTAATTATCAGAAATTCACTATTTCTTGTCTCTGTTTAATCGTCATCTTATTTTCTTTAAGGTGTGACGTCATAATACTCTTCTTTTTCCTCTTCTGATCTTTTTTTTCTGATCTTTTTCTTTTCTTTCGAAACATATTTTCTATTGCAGTAAAGAAATTGCAAAAAAAAGAGGAAAAACTCGTCCTTTAAATTTAAATGTCATAAGTATGTACGGTATAAACATATAGGTAAGCAGGTAGGCAGGTAGGTAAGTAGGTATATATGATGGCATATATCAAATGTATTTCTCTCTCTTTCTCTCTATGTATGTCCCGTATTCGTGTTTCTATATTGAGCGATCATTACGGAACTAATGGCGCTTTCCGTTTTTTTCCCAATTTTTTTGTCATTTTTTTTCTCAATCAGAGAGGAATTCTTGCATTGAAACATTTATTTTCTTATTTAATTTCTTTAAAGTTCCAAAAAGATATCTTGTATGAATTGTTACAATTGAAATACATTGAGAGATAAACGTGCGGGTGTGCACGTATTCATACGTGATTTCCAACGTACGGACACGTGACTACCACACATGCATATACATGCGCTTCTTCTTTCGCTAATTTTCTATACCGTCAAATGAATGAATCTTTTCTTTTTCGTTGTTTGATGGATTGCTTTTGAAATTTTCCATTCCATTAACTCGTAATTCTCTTATGAAATTTCATCATTGTTCTTATCACTCATCAATTTCGAATCAGAACGGGATTGAATTTTCATTAACATTTGGGAAGTTTTTCTTTTTTCTGTTTTTTTTTCCTGAGACCCATCTTGAAGTTCTAATTTAAATGTCGCATTTGGTCCTTTCGGCGCAAAACAGGAAGATAATATGGATGTTCATGTAAGTATGTTAATGGGTTTTTGTAATTCAAAAAATGTATGACCTGTTTATGTAAGATAAAGGATGAAAATGATTCGATTTCAGCATTCCAACCTTTTAAAATTAATGTTTAGAATTTTTTTTTCCTCAATCATCCTGTGTAGATGAAGGAAAATGATGGGTTGTCATTCGATAAATGGGTATCAAACTAATTAATTACTTTACACGCTAATTAGCATGAACTGTCAGTCAATCGAGCAAATCTCTGTTACCAGTATATTGATATTTTCAGTGTACATAACTATTTGGATATTCATTTTTTTAATTTCAAAATCTAATAACAATTGTCAAAATTAGACATATCATTTCCACTTTTCTTCTTTTGCATTTATGCATGCTTAAACGATTTATCCTAACTTCTAAATCCTGATTTTCCTATAATGAATTGGAGGAGGAAAAGGATAAATGAAATTCTTCTACCTTTTTATTTTATTTTTTTCTCTCCATTTAATTTTGATAGAGTTGATTGATAAAAGCAATAAATGTAACTGCCGTGGATAATATACTTCACACAGTCGTTCTTTTCTCTTTCCTTTTGTTTTCCTTTCTCCTTTCCTTTTCAATTCCTGAAATCAATTTTCCCAATATTACATTATCAAGAACAAAATGATTATGATGATAATGTTGATGATAATTAATGTCGTCATATTTTCAGTCTAAATAATTCATCCAGTAATTAGCATACTCTTCATTAATAGCAAACAATAAAGGAACAGGAAAAAAAAAGAGGAAAAAGGGAGAGAAGAGAGAGAGAGAGAGAAGAAAAAAAAAGTTAACTGTTTAATTGTGAGATGGTGTATTTGTTCGTTCGTTGAAGACAAATGATTCATCATTTATCAACAGCAGTCGTAGCGTTACATCCGCATTCTTTGATACCAATTGGTGCATTTTCTTTTTAGCAAATAGTGCAAAGGTATAAATTTCTAACTGTATACATATATATCAGGATCAAAGAATATTTTTGGTCTTCCCGATTATTGAGATAATATAACGGGGCGTAAATGGTTAGGATAAATGGCGAAAGAGAACAGTTGTAGGATGTATCTTATACTATTGAAAAAAAACACAAAGAAAAGGAAAAATAACGAGCAAAAGAAAGAAAAAACTTAACCCATAACATATGTGAAAAGATACTTTCGTATCAGGAAGGATT